GATGCTGCTTGGCCTGCTGTGTTCATCCAGCCTTGCACCTTGTTGTCAATGATGATAAGAGGTTGTTTTCTCTTCTGGGAGATTCTCAAAAACCAGGGCATAATCTCAAAGTAAGGGACAGAGAGGTCTGAAGATTTTTGCAAAAATTCTTAGATTGAGATGTGTTGACCTTTGTACTTTGGCAAAAGCTTGTATTTCCTTCTGGGAAAGTCCTTTTAATTACAGAGTGAAACTGAGGATTATTCTGAAAAAATGTGCAATTGGACTTTGAGAAAGACAATAAGACCATAAAGTAGAAAATGTAGGAAATGTTAATGGAATTTTGAGGGGGTTGAAGCATTAGAATCTTATTGCAACTGTACAAGGTGCTGCGGAGACCACATCTGGAGGACTGGGAGCAGTTTTGGCCCCATTATTTAAGGAGACATAGTTTCATTGGGAGCAGTTCAGAAAAGGTTCACTATGATGATCTCTGGTATGGACGGATTGTCTTATCAGCAAAGGCTAACCAGGTTCGGGACTGCACTCACTGGAGATTAGAAGAATAAGAGGAGATCTCATTCAAACATATGGGGGATTTTTAAGGGACTTGAAAGGTTAAATGCTGAGAGGATATTTCCCCTCATGAGAGAGTCGAGGACCAGAGGACATAGTTTCAGAATACAGGGGACGCTAATTTATGACTGAGACAAGGAGAAAGATCTTCTCTCAGAGGGTTGTGAGTCTTTGGAACTCCTTGTCATGGAGAGCTGTGGGGCAGAGTCCTTTTGGATACTTAAGGCTGAGATAGATAGATTTTTCATCATTAGTGGAATCAAGGGTTATGGAGAAAAGTCAGGAAAATGGACGTGAGGAATGTCATGATCCTATTAATAGTGCAACAAGCCTGAAGGGCTGAATGGCCTACTCCTATTCTTACTTCTTATGGTCTTATAGTCTAGGAACAGACACAGGCCGTTCAGCCATTGAATCTTCTCCATCATTCAAAGAGATTATGACTGATCTGATAATTCTCAATTTGTATGCTAATGACCAGCTAACATACTAATGGTCTTGACAGCCCTCTACAATAAAGGATTTCACAGATTTGCATCCCTCTGAGAAAAGAAATTCCTGATCTCTGTTTTAAAAGGGTGACTCCCTACTGTGAGATTATGCCAATTAACTTTCAAGAATTTGAGTTCACAAAAAAGATGAATGGTAGGGCCCTGGGAAGCATTGGGAAAGAGGGACCTTGGTATGCATGTACACCAGTCCTCTTAAAGTTGTAGGACAGGCAGATAAATTGTTTCAGAAGGCGTATGGGATACTCGCCTTTGTTAGTTCAGGCATGCAGCTTAGGAGCAAGGAGGCTATGTTGGAACTGTATAAAATGTTGCTTATGTTATCGATGCATTGTTCTGTTCTGGAGTCCACATTATAGGAGGGATGTGATTGCATTGGGGACGGTACAGAAGGAATTCACCAGGATATTGGTCTGTGCTAGACAGTTTCAGATATAAAGAGAGATTGAACGGACTGGAATTGTTTTCCTTGGAGCAGAGGAGATTGAGAGGGGGAACGAGGTTGAAATGTGCAAAATTGAGGAGTGCAGAAAGGATAAACAGGAAGAAATTTCTCCCCCTTGGTGGCGGGATCTACATCCAAGAGGCATAAATTGAAGGTAAGGGGCAGGAGGTGTGAAAGGGATGTGAGGAAAAACCTTTTCAGCCAGAGGGTAGTGGGAATCTGGAAATCACTGTTTGTAAGGGTAATGAAAGCCAAAGACCTCACAACAGGAAAGATGTATTTAAATGTACACTTTCAATGCCAAGGCATGAAAGGCTATGGGCCAAGAGCTGGAAAATGGAATTAGAATAGTTAGGCGCTTGTTTTTGACTGGCCCAGACTCAATGAGTCTCTGGGGAATTGGTTGCATTATGACCAATGTGGCTAAGAGGATTCTGCAGGGATACATGATTTCGACGTTAATCCTATTTTGGGACCTTTGATATAACATGGCTGCCAGTAAATTGACTCAAGGGCTGGAATGATTAAGTCAGAAGTAAATGATCTGATGTACTGGAGGCTGACTTGTAAAGACCATGAGTTAGCACATATCACATTTGCATGGGAAGTGATGTAAGTGCTTGTAAGCACAGGCTGCTTATCTTTGTGTATTGACTATTTAAAGCTTAGCATTTTTAAAACATCATTTGCGTGTTAACTAATGCTTCAACAATGTCGATTGTTACAGTGGAAATAGTTACAGGTAAATCAAAATCTTGCTCACCAGTGTTCTTTACTGCTGTGGGGTTTTATTTCTTTTAAAAAGTAATCAGTCTCCACGGGGATCATGATAAGAAAACAGACAAACAAATGTCAAAACACACCCAACTATTTCAGTGGAATCATCAACTTTAAACACAATTGAAGCGTCAGCATTGGTTCAGAGTGAGCACTCTCACCTCTGACCTAGAGGGTTCTAGATTAAAACCTTATTTCAGGCTCACAATCTCAAAACACTCCAACAGGAACAATCGTGGCACACTGACACCATTGGTGGTGTCTATCAGATGAGATGTTAGACCAAGACTTTGGCTGCCTGTTCAAGTGAATGTTAAAAGGATACCATAGCACGACACGGATGAGAGCAGAGATAGTTGCTCTACTGTCGTTGGCAAACAATTTGTTCAGCTGCCAGCAAGATTGCATTCTCTGGTCATTTATCACATTTGATGCTTGTAAAACCTTGTTGCCAACTGGTTTGCCACACTTGCTTCACTAACAACAGTACCTGAGATTGCAAAAGCAAGTCAGGGCTTTCTAGGCGCTACACAAATGTGGGGAGAGTGGCAGTGGAGGCGAGATGGTGACGAAGATTGGTGACTTTTGTTCCAGCGGTGAAGGGGACTCGTGCTTGACCACTGGGCCTGTGGCAGAGCACTTAAAAAGGAGGACTGTTTCTTTATTATTTCTGCCTTTATATTCTTTGTTTTACTTTGTTAGTTCAGGCATGCAGTTTAGGAGCAAGGAGGCTATGTTGGAACTGTATAAAATGTTGCTTATGTCATCGATGCATTGTTCTGTTCTGGAGTCCGCATTATAGGAGGGACGTGATTGCATTGGGGACAGTACAGAAGGAATTCACCAGGATGTTGGTCTGTGCTAGACAGTTTCAACTTGTGTTTTAAGATGGCGCCAGAGAGTGCCGAACACTATGCAACACTTTTCACGAAACGCACACGACAATAAATAAATCAAATCAAATCAACTCAAGGGTATAAAATGATGGCTGCAAACATTAGCTAATTAAAAGCAGTGTTAAATTCAAAATGTTTCTTTATTAAAATAAAGGATTGCAGGCAAAATACAGACATGGTAGTTCTTTGGTGTGCACAGGTCATTCTCTGTAAAAAATGTAACACAAAATCATGTATGGAGAAAATAACACAGAAATCCTCATTTTCTAAGCAAGGCAGAAAGTTTCTGCACCATTTCAGTAAATACAATGTTGTTATACAAGTTGTTATCCTCTCCTGGGTCTGTTTTATGAAGGTAGAGCTCTCCAGCATGAATGGCACTGAGATTCGCACTGAACGTGGATGCATTATAACCAACCCACTCTGTGTACCTGTACCCATCACAACGAATAGAGTATCCCATGACCTGAATGTCCTTCAGCAAAGGGAGATCAGAGTTCATCTGTGGTGTGTCCGCTGGCCGGGGGTATTGGGTGTAGACAAACAATTGCCGGTTCCAACTTGCGGCATTGGGGTTTAAATAATGAGCTATGCTCTTTCCCTCGGTACACAGATCCACATGAAAGGAAGGTGGCGGACACGCTGGAGGCTGAGGTAGTTTGAGGACTTGACAGAGAGTTGGGAAGAGGTCCACCAATTCCACATTGACATCCCTCATCAACCCTGTCAGAAAATTTAGGCACTTGATCAATACACTTTGTAAAGAGAATAGAATGGAACGGGGTAATGGGGACATAGGAGAATATCACTTCTATTCAGAGGTCACCATTCTTTTCCATGTGGGGACGAAGTGGTTTGTTGCATCACAGGTGTCAAAACAAAAGACATATGATCATAAGCAATAAGAGCAGGAGTAGGCCATCTGGCCTGTAGAGCCTGCTCCGCCAGTCATTAAGATCATGGCTGATCTTTTCATGAACTCAGCTCCACTTACCCGCCCCCTCACCATAATCCTTAACTCCTTTACTGTTCAAAAATCTATCAATCTTTACCTTAAAAGCATTCAACGAGGTAGCCTCAATTGCTTCACTGGGCAGGGAATTCCACAAATTATACAGACATGGTCGCCTAGTCCATTATTACACTCACCTCAGCCCTGCATCAACAGTCGACATGGGGTTTAAATTTCACACATCTGCTGAACACACCCAACTCTACCTGTCTGAGAGCTTCTCTGCTGCTCCTACCATCTGTCAGGAAAAAGTCCCAAATTTCTTGAAGTGAGCTTGGAGAAAAACCGTGATCATCATCTCCACTGCTTCATCACTGATTTCATTCCCCGTATGAGGCAGGTCAACGATTTACTATCTCAGTGTCCAGCCTGATGCTAAGTTTAGCTTCAGATCCAATTTCTACCGAGGCATTCCTCTACATCTCACCACTGTTCCTTGCCATAGCCACACTTTCCATTGCCCAGAGCTACAAGTGTTGCAGACACTGTGAAATCTCACACATAAAAACCAAAAGAGCTGCGGATGCAGTAAATCAGGAACCAAATCAGAAATTGCTGGAAAAACTCAGCAGGTCTGGCAGTGTCTGTGGACAGAAATCAAGGTTAACATTCTGTTTCGAGTCACCCTTCCTCAGAACCGTTCTGAGGAAACGTCACTGGACCTGAAACGTTAAAGGTCACTCGACCTGAAATGTTCACTGTGATTTCTCTCCACAGATGCTGCCAGACCTGCTGAATTTTTTTTCCAGCGATTTCTGTTTTTGTTTCTGTGAAATCTTCTGCATGTCACACTGCATCCTGACTTCCAACTACATTACCTTTCCTTCACTATCATGAGGTCAAAATTCAGGAACTCCTTCCCTAACAGCACTGTGGATAAATTGGGGTATCTAGAAAATAAATCAATTCAGGTATGTTAACATATTGGACAAAACTACTTTTTGTTAGATGTTAAATGTGATGAATAAGTACATGCTGAGATATAATGTGTTTATAGATTTATTTTGTTCTTACATGGGATGTGGGGCTTTGCTGGCATGTGTTACACATCCCTAACTGCCCTTGAACAGCTTGGCTATTCAGGTCAATTCAAAGAGCAGTGAAGAGTCAATCGTGTGTCTAAGGGTCTGTAGTCATGTGTAGCCAGACTGGATAAGGACGTTAGCAAACCAGATGAACATTTATGACAATCAGCGATAATGTACAGTCACAATTAAACTAGTTTTATTTTCAATTCCAGATTTGACTGAATTCAAATTTCACCGTCTGCACGGTCGGATTTGAACCCATATTCCCAGACCAATTGTAATTATGACATTACTGCCACACCATCTGTTCCCCTACATATGTGGAATATATCAGCTTGTAGATTTTTGCATAGTATTACATTATTTTACTTAATTCCAGAATGTTAATCTGTTGCTTATATTGTGAGGAAAGTATATTTGAAAATTGCATGCTAGAACACTTTAGGGTTAGTAGTATCACCATCAGAACAAGCAACAAGCTCCACTTTCTGCAAGATAGTACTTTCAGACATAACCTTCACACTCTCGGACATACTGACTTATCGTGGATGCTAGAACCTACCTGGAGGCAGATTCCCCACTTCATCAGTGAAGGAGTTAATAAAAGGAAACAACCTTTGACCTGGATGTGGAAAAGCTTCAGTCATCCCTGGGACATAAAACATCAAAGGGACTCTGGTGGCTACGTCAAAATTGCTGTACTTAGCCCATTCCCCATGTTCCCCTAGCGACCAACCTAAAAACAAACAAGACAGTTGGTCTAAATAAATTCCATGCAAGAAAGATGAAAGAAAATTAAATGTGTAATCTCCTCAATAGGAATATCAAGATTAGAATTCAACAACAAATTCCCCATTGCACTCACTTATTCACTTTGAGGTTCCTTGGAGTAATGATCTACTAACCAACAGCAATGATGGTGGGGGATTGTAGTGAAACACCTTGTTTTTAGGTTGAGGTTGTAGACTTGCTCACCGAGCTGGTGAGTTTGATTGCAGATGTTTTGTTACCCTGCTCAGTAACATGGTCAGTGCACCTCCGGTGAAGCATTGATGTTCTGTCCCTCTTGTAATTTATATGCCTCGGTTTGCTGGGGTGGTTGGCATTACTTCCGGTTCTGTTTTTCAGTGGTTTGTATAGAAGGTCCAGTTCAATGTGTTTGTTGATGGGAGTTCTGGTTGGAATACCAAGCCTCTGGGAATTCCCTGGCATGTCTCTATTTGGCTTGTGCTATTATGGATGTGTTATCCCAGTCGAATTTGTGTCCTTCTTTGTTCGCGTGTGTGGAGACGAGTGAAGAATTGGTCATGTCTCTTAGCGGCCAGTTGGTGTTCGTGTATCCTTATTGCCAGTTCTCTTCCAGTTTGGCCTATGTAATGTTTCTCACAGTCCTTGCATTGTATTTTGTATATTATGTTAGTTTTATTGGCTGTGGGTGTGGGATCCTTTACGTTCGTCAGTAGCTGTCGCAGGGTGGTTGTTGGTATGTGTGCTACCCTGATACCTAGGGGTCTGAGTAGTCTTGTGGTCATCTCTGAAATGTCTCTGATGTACGGTAGGGTGACTACTGTGTCTGGCCATGTTGTATCTTCTTGTTTTGGTCTGTCGCGGAGGTAACTCACTGGTCTTCATACACACAGACAAAAGAAGGACGCAAATTTGACTGGGATAACACATCCATAATAGCACGAGCCAAACAGAGACATGCCAGGGAATTCCTGGAGGCCTGGTGTTCCAAACGGAAGACCATCAACAAACACATTGAACTGGACCCGATATACAAGCCACTGAGAAACAGAACCGGAAGTGATGCCAACCACCCCAGCAAACCGAGGCAGATAAATAACAAGCGGGACAGAACACCAATGCTTCACCGGACGTGCACTGACGATGTTACCCTGCAGGGTGACGAACCATCTGCAACCAAACACATTGGCTCAGCGAGCAAGTCTACAACCTCATCCACAACCCGAGCTACAAACCTATTCATAAACTTTAAACCTTGTCTTTCAATTAATTCCCCAAATATTGGGCATTTATTGCCCTCCCTTAGTCATCCTTAGGAAAGTCAGAAGTCACATGACACCAGGTAATAGACCAAAAGGTTTATTTGATATCACAAGCTTTCAGAGCGCTGCTCCTTCATCAGGTGAAGTGGAGGGAAGCACTGAAGTGCAGAGCTCTGAAAGCTTGCGATTTCAAATAAACCTGTTGGACTAAAACCTGGCGTTGTGTGATATCTGACCCTGGTCCAACACTGGCCCCTCTGCATCCTTCAGAAGATGGTCCAAACTTATTCGTGAACTCTTGGCAATAGTTTGATATAACTACTCCCTCAGCCTTTTGAAGGGAGGTTAGTGAGTGAGTGGAGACACAATGAGCTTAGGCAGGGAGCTGAGAGCAGATTTCCTTTTGTAAAGGATCAGAATGAACTATTTGAGTTCTTACAACAATCTGATGGCTCGATTGTAGCGTTTAGTACATTATGTTAACAACTTCCATTCCAGGTAGCTATTTTATCGAGCTCATAATTAAGCCAGCTGCACAATGACTAAAGATGGCGAGTTATGCTTCTCCAAATTGCCATATAATATTGTTCTACAGTCAAGATGCCAAATAAAGTATAATTATTGCTGCAGTCACCACTGTCATCGCTGATGCTTGTCAAGCTATTTGCCTGATCTGACATTAATGGGTTTAACAGAGCTCGTTAGTGCAGTGACTTAGCAATCACAGCCAATCTGCGTACAGCACAGAATTCAGGTGAATCCAGAAACATTGCTAAGATCTAAGATCAGTTTTTGTCAACCAGTTCATGAATAAAACCAACAGTTTCTCCTCATAACAATCAAACAGCCGATGAATATCATCAAACATCATTAGCTAAGCAGACACAAATTTCTAGCTCACCGTGGTCAGAGGTAAAGATAACAATTGTATTATTGGCCAGTTCCTGCTCATCCAGTGTGTTTAGCAGTCGACCCACTTGACTATCCATGTAGGAGACAGCAGCGAAGTAACTCTGGCGTATCAGCACCTGAGAGACAGGAAAGATACAAATCTCACAGCCTCACAATGAACTGGCACCAAGATTACCATCCTCCCCCTCCCTCTGACGGTGTGATGGAACCATCCGCTGACATGGGGTGGCGGGGGGCAGGGGGGTACCCAGCCTCCCAATGTAGATAAGCGAAGGGATTAGACCAAACAACATCCTCCTGCGCTGTGCAATTCTTTAAAATGCTCATCCAACATTCATGCACAAGATATTCCAAAAATTGAGACACAGCATATATTGAACATTGAGATGCAAGATATACTAGGGCAGCACCGTGGCTCAGTGGTTAGCAGTGCTGCCTCACAATGCTAAGGATCCAGGTTTGTTTCCACCCTTGGGCGATTGTCTGTGTGGAATTTGCACATTCTCCTTGTGTCTGTGTGGGCTTGCTTCGGTTTCCTCCCACAATCCAAAGATGTGCGGGTTGGGTGGATTGATCATGCTAAATCGCCCATAGTGTCAAGAGATGTGTTGGTTAGCTGGACTAACTATGGGAAACACAGGGTTAGAAAGACAGGGTCGGGGGGTCGGTCTGGGTGGGATGCTTTTTGGAGGGTCGGTGTGAACTCAATGGGCCAAATGGCCTGCTTACACTGTGTAGGGATTCTGTGCTTGACTTGAGACCCTGACTCTATGACTAAAAATCGAGACACAAGAAATACTAAACAACGATGGACATGAGATTGTAGTTTCTGCTGACATAGCAAGGTCTAAAAATTAGTTTCACCTCCCAGTTTAGAATATTAACAAAAAACTGCCACCGTCCAGACTTGTCCCAACCAAGAACTGGAGTGGTCAACATGGACAGAAAGTGGACAGCATTTCATAAGATATTTCCAAATCCCCAGTGAGGCTCTGAGAAAATCATCACTATGCCAGTCAAAAATTCCAGAAGCTACAAATCTATTTTGCTGACTGTGTGCAAAGAAAGCTGTGCTAACATCTGGTACTTTCATTAAATGAATGCTTCCTTTAAGGGCTGATTAAACACATACTTGAAAATCATCAGGAATGGGTCCATACGGAAAACTTAAATTGAGAGCCATCACGTCATCTCTTCTTCTCAGATCAGTCCACGGATTATATGCCACTGGGGGTAGTTTCGGTGGGATTTTGGGATCAGGTGCCAAAGGTATCTTATCATGTGGATACAATTTCAAAAATTCCTGGACAGAAAAAAAAAATCATGAGTTTAGACTTCTGCCAAAATATCCTGACAAAAAAAATGCAATCTTCAAGCCTTTTAAAGATGCAAACCAATAAAGAAACAGAAAGTGCTGGAGAAATTCAACAGATCTGGCATCATCTGTGGAGACAGAAACAGAGATAATAGTTCAAACTCAGGATGACCTTTCCTCACCAGTTGCACTGTATATTTCTTTCTAAATACACTCACAGCTGAGACCATTAGATGGTGGCTATCTCATTGAGACTCAGTTTTTGGAGTGGGCTTGACAGCATCAATGCTGAGAACATTTATTTTCCCTCACGTGTGAATCTAGAATTAGGGGGCATTGTTTCAAAATCCAGAGTCTTCCATTTATGACAGAGATGAGGTAGAATTTCTTCTCCTGAGAATTCTCACTCTCAGACAGCAATGGAGGCTGGTCGATTAAATATATCCAAGGCTGATTTACACAGAAGGTAAGGGACACAAGAGTTATGAGGGAACAGGAAAGTAAGTGGCCAGATCAGATTAGCCATGATTTAATTGACTAGTGAAGCTAGCCTGAGGGGCTGAATGGCATCCTCTTGTTCCTATTTCTTGTTATCCTATGATTTCTAAGATATATATAATTTACTACCAGCAGAATCAGAACTGGGTCACAAAACTCCACATTTTTAACCTTACGTGTGGAACACATTTGAACACTAGCCTGGGCAACAGCAACCCCATAACGAAATGGCCAGCACCCTCCGACAGTACAGCACTTTGTTACGCATCAGTTTACTGTCTACAAATATGATATTATATGAGCAGACATAGTGCTAAAAGGACACAAATTCACACAAAATTAACTCGAGGGTGAGGTCACATAATTGGTTCGGAAAATGCTCTGCAGCAATTCAAACTGCTAACCATTTTCACTTGCACACAGTCTAGGTCAATGTTCCAATTCATGGGTGAGGGAGTGCTGCACTGTCAGAGAAGCATCCTTCCAGGACAGGTGTAAAACTGAGACCTGTCTGACTCCACAGCCGTAGTGGAATTCTCCCTGGCATCCTGACTAGTGTTTACCCATTGATTAACATTCCTGAAACAGATTGTCTTATTGTTGTCACAGTACTGCTTGGGGGAGTTTGCTGAGTGAAAATTGGTTCCTGCCTTTCATACAATACAGCAGTGACTAAATGCTAATCGTACCTAATTGACTGTAAAGTGCTTTGGGATGGCTGAGCTCATAAAGGATAAGTTTCTCTTTATCAATGGGATCATTAACTCTGAGTTATGTTAAAGACATGAGCCAAACACATTTTATGCGGCAATCTCTGCAGTGTTTCTGTTCTGCTAAACTTGTGCACAGACACACAGATAGATAACAAACATCTCCCAAACGCTGCAACAGATTATGGAGTTGTTACCTGGGGGTATTTCAGTGGAATGTGCGGCTTATGGTATCCAACAGCCAAAAAGAAAGGGTTTTCTGTGCTTTTCAACTTTTCCAATAACCGAATTGCCTCCTCAGTGCTCTGAATATCAGGCAGAGTCTGTTCTGGCATTTCCTCCACATCCACTGGGCAAATTAAATTTGCACGTTTTTCACCAACTGGACCTTTGCAAACCTATCTGAAGGAAACACACACAGTTAACCAAGTTCTCTTTGTGTTCAGCAGCCAGGACAGGAATTGAACCCACACTGTATTGCAGCCAACTAAGCTAACCAAACTCTGAGCATGATACACGTCACTTGCAGAACATCCAATGTTAAATTTTCAACATAGCGCTTGATTTTGTAATAAATGAATCACACCCATGATTAGTTGCACTCAATTCTTCAGTAGAACCTGAATTTGGAGAGAGTCTCTGGCCTTTAGTGTTAATTACATCTGGTCACAGCTCTATTCATTCCTGTTAAAGGTTTGGTGATACTCGAATGCAGCCAGATACAAACACACACTCCTTAGACAAGCAAAGCACTGGAGAGAATGGTTAATCTCGAAAATCAGGATACCAAATCTCTTCCATCTCACATTGCTGAAATTATTCATGCTGATTAAACACCGGGCATTATAATCCGATGAGGAAGAGGTGACTGAATCGTTGCTCTGAAGAAAAGATGGTGCTGCCCAAATCAGTCTCCTCCTCTTGAGATTCTAGCTTAGATCAGTGAAGGACTAACAAGAGCACTCAATGATTGCAGGACACTAGAAAGCTCAAAGAAATAGTGGGATCCTGGATGCATGTCCACAGATCCCTGAAGTTGGCAGGACAGGTTAACAGCGTATGTGAGAGGGTATACAGGACAGTTACCTTTATCATTAGAGGCACAGAAAGAGCTAGGAGGTTATGCTGGTGCTGTACAGGACCTTGGTAAGGTCACCACTGCAGTCCTGGTCACAGCACTATAGGAAGGATGTGACTGCAGTGGAGGGGGTGCAGAGGAGATTCACCAGGATATTGCCTGAGATGGAACATTTCAGCGATGAAGTGTGACTGGTTAAGCTCAGGTTGTTTTCTTTGTAGCAGAGAGAGTTGAGGGAGGACCTGATAGAGATCTATAAGCCTATAAGGGGCATGGGGAGCTGTACCCCTTAGTCAAAGGATCAGAAACAAGGGGACATAATTTTAAGCTGAAACGCAGGAGGTTCAGAGTGGATTGAGGAAAAACGTCGTCACCTCACAACCTTCAAAACGTACTTGGATGAGCACTTGAAATGTCATAATATTCAAGGATATGGCCTTAGTACAGGAAGTGGGAGTAGTGTAGAATTTCTGTAGCTTTGGCAGTACAGGATTGATGGGCCAAACAGCCTCTTCTGTACTGTCCGATTCTATGATTTGTTAGCATTCTGCTGGAACAGAACTAAGATCAGACTTCCTCAGTTAGGGAGTTGTAGGAATATTGTCATAGTCAGGGATGTAGTGTTATTTGGAGGTAGTGGCTGTTCCCGTGCATCTGATGTGCATGTCCTTTAGATGGCAGAGGTCACAGGTTTGAGAGGCGTAAGGAGCTTTGATTAACATTCTACCAGAGATAGTAGGAACTGCAGATGCAGGAGAATCTGAGATAACAAGGTGTAGAGCTGGATGAACACAGCAGGCCAAGCAGCATCATAGGAGCAGGAAGGCTGACGTTTCGGGCCTAGACCCTTCATCAGAAATGGGGGAGGGGAAGGGGGTTCCGAAATAAATAGGGAGAGAGGGGGAGGCGGATAGAAGATGGATAGAGGAGAAGATAGGTGGCATCCCCGAAGGTTGCAGGAACAGCAACTCATATTCCACTTGGGAACCCTGCAGCCCAATGGTATCAATGTGGATTTCACAAGTTTCAAAATCTCCCCTCCCTCTACCGCATCCCAAAACCAGCCCAGCTCATCCCTGCCTCCCTAACCTGTTCTTCCTCCCACCTATCCCCTCCTCCCACCTCAAGCTGCACCCCCATTTCCTACCTACTAACCTCATCCTGCCCCCTTGACCTGTTCGTCCTCCCTGGACTGACCTATCTCCTCCCTACCTCCCCACCTACACTCACCTTTACTGGCTCCATCCCCGCCTCTTTGACCTGTTTGTTTCCTCTCCACCTATCGTCTCCTCTATCCACCTTCTATCCGCCTCCCCCTCTCTCCCTATTTATTTCCGAACCCCCTTCCCCTCCCCCATTTCTGATGAAGTGTCTAGGCCCGAAACATCAGCCTTCCTGCTCCTATGATGCTGCTTGGCCTGCTGTGTTCATCCTTGATTAACATTGATCCAAATTCATACTTTGTGTGAGAGTGTACACGTAGAATGGGTAATAAAGAGGGCAAATGGAAATTGGTATTTATTGCTAAAGGAATGGAGTAAGAAAGTAGGAAAGTACTGTTATAATTGTACAGGGCATTGGTGAGTCTGTATCTGGAGTACTGCATACAGTTAGATCCCCTTACTTGAGGAACAATATAATTGCAGTAGAACCAGCTCATAGAAGGTTCATTAGATTAATTCCAGAGATGAAAAGTTTGTCTTATGAGGAGATATCGAGCAGTTTAGGTCTATACTCATAAGGGTTTAATTGAGTTTTGTAAGATGCTAAAGAGGAATGATAAAGTAGACACAGAGAGGATGTTTCACTATGTGAGGCAATCTAGGACAAGAGGTTATAGTTTTGGGCTAAGGGCTAGCACATTTAAAACAGAGATGAGGAGGAATACTTTGCTCAAAGAGTCGTGAAACCGGGGAATTCATTACCCCGAGTGTGTTGGATATCAAGACACTGAGTAAATGTAAGGAGGACGTAGGCAGATTTTTAATTAGTAACGGGTTGAAGGGTTATGGGGAGTAGGAAAGATGAGCTCAGCAATGATCGTTTTGAATGGAGGAACAGTCACAATGGGCTGAATGGTCTATTCCTTCTCCTAGTTCTTATGCTTTTACATTCTCATTGATTGACTCATCCTAAGTGCAATACTAACAGCGTTGCCTTCATCTAATTCATTCAAAGTAACATTTAAGCTTTACCTTAGCATTTTTATATTTCTGTGTGGAAGGATGAAATGGAGGAATGGACCAGCTGTATGGATAATCATCTGTGTGATTGGACACAATCCCTGAAAGATGAAGGGAATTTTAGTAAAGTTTTAAAGCTATGGGTCATACTAAACTGAAACACATCAAAAGGTACAAACATTCAAGACAGAAAAATAAGCCAGGTGATTTTACTTCATGACATGTCACTGGTTGTGTGTTAAAGAAAGATCAAAGCTTCAGTTGGTTGCTTCAACCTGTTATATTCAGTCAGCGAGCATGTTAAGATGGCAGAAATTACGAAGATTTCTATTGCACAGAACTTACAGCGGAGCAGCAGTTTTTCTGCTCTTCTTACCACATCTTCATCTAACACTATCAATAAAACCTCTTGCTTAGATGTAGATGCCCTCACTACATTTCATCTATTTCTCTCTTCTTTTGTGGAACTGTGATTCAAGGTTAAGAGTTGAACTTTGAACAGCTGCATGCTTTAAAAGGGGATAAATCAAACGTGGATGTTTGCTGTTGGGAACTGGCCTAAAATATATTGCAACATAATTACTAATCTGAAAAACACTATGGGTGGTTCAGCACCAAGTGTAACTATGCTCAAATCTAGCAGCGAGTTGGATGTTAAGTTGGTCAATCAAGGGAACACCAGTTCTAACGAGCTAACCACAGAGAATATTTATTGAAAAGAAGTTAAAAAGAGCAAACTGATTCTGACTGGGTTTTAGCAAGTGCCGAGTAATTTTGGAAGCTTGAGGACTGGCTCTATTTTTTAACTCTCTCTAGTTTTCTGTCCAGTGATTTGTTGAATGTTCTAAGAAATGAATTCCAGCAGAAAGAAATAAGTAACTTTTTCTGGAAGTCTACTGAAACTGTTCACATTTGCTGATGACATTGCAATTAGATGTACAGCTATGTTCAATGAACAACTCATTACCCAAGGACTGCATGAAGACGTGGAATCCATCTTTTGAAACTCTTTAGTTGAACTGACACATTACAATTCTTTTATTTTCTTTTCAATTTATCCTTTAACTCTGTTTGTCTGTGTGTGAGTGGGCTTATGATCAAAGACAATTGTGTTTAAATCATATATATTAATTAGATTACCTTGTTATTTAGCTCTGTCCTCCTAAAGACACAGTATTAGTGATAAATTGTCATTTTTTGTTTAAGTTATAAACTTGGTGCCCAAGATCTTTTATTCGCAAAGTCTGGTTAGAAACAATTGGACAATTTTGAGGGTTGTTGAATATTTCAATTTCACTGTGTTGCAAATCCAGTAAGGCTTAGTTTGTTTGGCTTGTTATCCCTGTGTCAAAACACAATCAATTTGTATTTATTCAAGCACTTGTTGAATGAGACAAACTGCTGCAAATCCCAAGTCTTTTTTGGATACAAGAATTGTAGGCCATGGTCAACTTAAAGTGTTCTGTGACTTTGCTGGAAGTAAAAGATGAAGGATTTGCATTTAAAAGTGCCTTTCACGAGTCCTGGATATCTTGAAGCACTTTACAGTCAGTTCAGTACTTGTGAAGTGTAGTCACTGTTGTAATGTAGGAAGCACAGTGGTTAATGTGTGGACAATTAACTCCCACAAACAGCAGTATGATAATGATCATACCATCTGTTTGTGTGATGTTGTTTGAGGTATACATTGCTCAAGTGGATAATTCTTTGAAAGAGTATGGTGGGATATCCCCGGAAAAAGCAGAATTAATGTTTTCAACTAGAGAGGCTAAAATTTAATCATAAGCTTTTTTGTGTCAGGCTAGAATCCCTACTGTGTGGAAGCAAGCTACTTGGCCCATTAGTCTACACTGACCCTCTGAAGGGCATTCTACATAGACCCAGCTCCCACACTGCATTTCCCATGGCTAAGCCACACATCCCTGGACACTGAGTATTTTAGCACAGCAAATCCACCTAACCTGCACATCTTCAGGCCGTGGGAGGAAACCCACGCAGACACAGGGAGAATGTGCAAACTCCATGCAGTCAGTCACCCAAGGGTGGAATCAAACCCATGACCCTGGCACTATGAGGCAGCAGCAGTAACCACTGAGCGACCATGCTGCTGGATGAGAGTGTATTGATGTCACCTATAACAACTTAAGGAAGGACAGGAAACACAAAGAAATGATTAGAAGGGGAAAGAAAGAGACAGACTCTCCCATTGCATTCCAGCACTCTCCGAGTACTGCAGAATGGCAGCCTGAATGATATACTCAAGTGTCTCGTTAACCCCACATTCTGACTCAGAGGTATGACTGTTACATAGTGAGCTACAGTTGATCGTCACTCATCTGAGTAAATAAAGTGAGAAAGTCTGTTCTTTGTTTTCATTTTATGATGCAAACATTTGAATTAAGAAATAAGAAATAGGAGCAGGGAGACTTTACAACTGCTCCAGCTTGTTCTGCCCTCCAATATGATCACGTCTGTTCTTGGGCTTCCAATCCACTTTCCCATCTACTCTTGAAAACCTGATGGACCAAGTATCTGTTTATTCTAAACTAAAACAGAAATTTCTGGAGAAACTCAGCAGATTTGCAGCATGTGTGTTGAGAAAGCAGAGTTAATGTTTCAAGTTTACTGACCCTTCTTCAGAAGTGACTGTAGCTCAGTAAAGGTTGGTGTATATGCTGAAGATGGGGTGGGGGCAGGGGGTGGACTACATGGTAGGTGGGAGATGGAGCCCAGAGAGAAAGAAAACATAGGTTGGGCAGACAAAGGAGCGGGTAAAGGTCAGCCTGGGAGAATCAATAGCTGTTAATGGGGGTTGTTAGTTGTGGTAGCAGCTCATGTGATGACAAGGCCTGGTGTGTGGAGGTTGGAGGAAGGTTATGGGAGAAGGTGCCCAGGCCCTAAAATTATTGAACTTTATATTGAGTGCAGATGACTGCAGGGTTCCCAAGAAGAAAATGAGACGCTGTTTGTCCAACTAGCACTGCGCTTCAGGGAAGCACTAAAGCAAGCCTGGGACAGAGATGTTGGCCAGAGAAAGCGATGGTGTACTGATGTGGCAGGCAACTGAAAGCTCAAAGTCATTTTTGCAGACAGAATGTAGTTGTTTTGCAAATTGATCATCAGTTTGCATTTTGTCTCCCCAGTGTAGAGTAATGATGTGGAGGTGTCAATGAAGGGCTGAGGTGGACAATGTCAGAAGTCACACGACACCAGGTTATAGTCAACAGGTTCATTTGAAATCACAAGCTTTCGGAGCGTAGCCCCTTTGTCAGGTGAAGACAGAGAGAAGCACACAGACCCAGAATTTATGGGCAGAGACAGATCAAGGACAGAGAGATCAAAAGACCATACAAATGGTGTGTGTAAAGTGCTGAATAATAAGTCCCTCCAGGGGAACAGAAGTGTTAGATGCTGTGAGTAAAGTGTGAACAGCTGAATAACAAGCAAAGGGATGATCTATAATCCGATTAAATGAGGCAGACAGATAATTACAAAAAATTGAAAATAAGGTGGTGCTGGGGACAAACCAAATGACTGGAATAACATGCTGGGTATAAGAGTCACATGCTGAGGGTCTAACCAAATCATAAGTAATCCAGAACTGTACAAACTAATTAAGGTAGAGAGATCATAGTAAGTTATCCAGGTGCTGGACAGTAGCGAAGGTTTTACTAATATAGAACAGTGTGTTGGAGTCACAGTCACGCAATGTGAACTCAAGATCACCGTTGAGGCCATTTCCATGGGTATGGAACTTGTCTATCAGTCTCTGCTCGGTGAGTCTGTGTTGTTCAGTGTCTCAATGGCCGCCTTGGAGGACGCTTACCCGAAGATCGGAGGCTGAATGTCCGTGACCGATGAAGTGTTTCCTGACTGGGAGGGAACATCCCTGTCTATTGATTGTTGCGTGGTGTCCATTTATCCGTTGTCATAGCGACTGCATGGTCTCGCCAATATACCATGCCCCAGGGCATTCTCCCCTGCAACGTATGAGATAGACAACGTTGGCCGAGTCACATGAGTACCTGCCGTGTACGCGGTGGGTGGTGTTCCCACGTGTGATGGTAGTACCCATTTGATGATCTGACACGTCTTGCAGATGTTTCCATGGTGGGATTGTGTGGCGTTGTGGTCGATGTTGTCCTGAAGGCTGGGTAGTTTGCTGCGAACAATGGTCTGTTTAAGGTTTGGCGGTTGTTTGAAGGTGAGAAGTGGAGGCTTAGGGATGATCTTGGTGAGATGCTCGCCATCATCGTATCCAAACACACGGAACAGCCATTGGGACCAAATGTGCAGCCCAGTATGCCAACATTTTCATGTATAACTTCAAGCAAGACTTCTTTGCTGTGTGGGACCTCTGATCAACACTACACACCCGATACATCAACAACATTTTTTTCCTTTGGACTCATGGCGAGGAATCACTGAACTGACTACATAGCGATATCAACAATTTTCATCCCACCATCAGACTTACCATGGACGACTCTTCAGAATCAGTCTCATTTTTGGACACACACATCGCCATCAGGGATGGACACCTCAGTGCCTCACTCTACCGCAAGCCCATGGACAACCTCACAATGCTGCACGTCTCTAGCTCCCACCCTAAATACATTAAAGTAGCCCTCCTCTAAGGACAAGCCCTGTGCATACACATGTTCTGCTCAGATGAAGACGAACGCAATGGAGACCTAGAGATTTTGAAGGATGCCCTCATAAGAATAGGATACGATGCTCAACACCGATCACCAGTTCTGCTGTGCCACAGCGAAAAACTGCAATGACCTGCTCAGAAAACACTACAGGATAAGACCGATAGAGTACCCTTTGTCGTCCAGTATTTCCCCAGAGCGTAGAGACTATGCCATGCTCTTCGCAGCATTCAACATGCCATCGATAATGATGCGCATCTCACCCAGATCTTCCGCACACCTCCACTTCTCGCTTTCAAACAACCGCCAAACCTTAAACAGACCATCGTTCGCAGCAAATTATCCAGCCTTCAGGACAACATCAACCACAACACCACACAATCCCATCATGGCAACATCTGTAAGACATGTCAGATCATCAAATGGAAACTACCATCACACGTGGGAACACCACCCACCATGTGCACGGCAGGTACTCATGTGACTCGGCCAACGTTGTCTATCTCACACACTTCAGGCAAGGATGCCCCAAGGCATGGAATATTGGTGAGACCATGCAGACGCTACAGCACGGATGAATGGACACCGTGCAACATTCACCAGACGGGAATGTTCCCTCCCAGTCTGGGAACACTTCAGCGGGTCACAGACATTCAGCCTCCGATCTTCGGGTAAGCGTCCTCCAAGGCAGCCATTGAGACACTGAACAACACAGAATCGCCAAGCAGAGACTGATAGATAAGTTCTATACCCATGAAGACAGCCTCAACCGTGACATTGTGTTCATGTCGCGCTAAGGTGACCCCACCAGACTGCTCTATATCAGTAAAACCTTCTTTACTGTCCTATTTTGTCACCATCACCCGGATAACTTGTTATGATCTGTCTACCTTAATTAGTTTGTACAGTTCTGAATTACTTATGACTTTGGTAAGATCCTTGGCATGTGGCTCTTATACTCATCATGTCATTCCAGTCATTTGGTTTGTCTCCAGCACCACTTTATTTTTAAGTTTTTGTAATTATCTCTCTGCCTCATTTAATCAGATTATAGGTCATCCCTTTGCTTGTTATTCAGCTGTTCACACTTTACTCACACTGTCTAACACTTCTGTTCCCCTATAGGATCTTATTATTCAGCACTCCACTCACACCATTTGTCCGGTCTTTGGGTCTCTCTGCCCTTGATCTCCCTCTGCCCATAAATTCTGTGTTCTGTGTGTTTCTGCCTCACTTCGCTTGAAGAAGGGGCTAAGCTCTGAAAGCCTGTGATTTCAAATAAACCTGACAGACTATAACTTGGTGTAGCATACAGTGGACCACATTGTGAGCAGCGAATAGAGTGGACTAGATTGAACAGAGTGTAAGTATATCACTGCTTCATCTGGAAAGTGTGTCCAGGCCCTTGGATAATAGGGAGAGAGGAAGTAAACAGGCAGATGTCGCACCTTCTGCGGATGTAGGGGAAGGTGCCATGGGGGTATGGGGAGTTGTTGGGAGTGGAGGAGGAGTGGACCAAGATCTCCCAAAGGGAAAGATTTCTGCAGAAGGCTGACAAGGGAGGGGGGGGGAATATCTGCCTGGTGCTGTCATCCCACTAAGGACATTTAATCAAGGCAAGTCAACTGCATTTAGTCATTTTTTGACTGACTGGTGGAATGGGGTTGATGGGTTGACATCCTCCTGTTCTTGCAGTGAGCAGAAGCTGAGGTCCTACCTGGATGAAAGACTTTTCCCACTGACAAGGTTAAGTAGCCATGCATCTTCAAATATTGAGGAAGTGTGGTGTAATTCCCAGCTTGAACTCTCCAGTAGGAGTTGTGATCATAAAGTCGTGTGGTATCAGGTCTGCGACTCGTTAAAAATGATGTCCTGCTGGGCCCACACAACGCTTGCTGCAAAGTATTGAAAGCAAGGTGTCATTTGGCATCCCGAAATTTAACATCAAAATTTCTCCAAAGTGAAAAGGTGTAAAATTACAACTGAGAGTGGCCTGATTAGGCTAGCTAAGAGAAAGGTATTGCTTACATATTATGCAGTTTAATTAAACAAAACTAAGAAATCGCAGATGCTGGAAAGCTGACGCAGAAATAGAAATTACTGGAGAAACTCAGCAGGTCTGGCAGCATCTGTGGAGTGAAAATAGCGTTAACAATTTAATCTAGTTCTGAAGAAGGGGCACTGGACTTGAAACATATACTGTATCTCGCTCTTCATAGATGCTGCCAGACCTGCTGAGTTTCTCCAGCAATTTCTGTTGTGGAATGTAATTACTTCTTTTATAGGTTATGCTAGCAAAATGCCAACACAAGCCCAAGGTTTCACCTTTAAAACTAGTAACTGCTCAACTTAAATAATACAAAGAACGATGGATGGTGGAAATCTGAAACGAACCAAAAATTTCTGAAGAAACCCAGCAGGTCTGGTAGCAGCTGGGGAGAGGAAACCGAGTTAACATTTCAGGTTCAGTGACCCTTTTTCAGATGCTGCCAGACCTGTTGAATTTCCCTCCATTTTTGTTTCAACTGCTCAACAAGGAAGAGCCAGCCTTGGGTAACCAAGGAAATAAAGGAGGACATCCAATTAAAAGCACAGGCTTACAAAGTCACCAACGGTAGTGGGAAACAGGAAGACTGGGAAAACTTTAAAAAGTAACAAAGAACCACGAGGCAAACAATAAAGAATGGAAAGATAGATTATGAATGCAAACTAGCACAGAATATAAAAACAGATAGGAAAAATATTCATAAATATATAAAACGGAAAAGGGTGGCTAAAGCGGACGTAGGTCCCTTGGAGGATGAGATGGGGGAATTAAGATTGGGCAGTGCTGAAATAGCTGAGGCCTTGAATGACTATTTTGTGTCAGTCTTCACACTGGAGCATATGTCTAACCTGCCAAAGAATGATGTTAAAGATACAATAGGAGGTGAGGGCTTTAATTCAATTGTTATCACTAATAGGGTAGTGCTGAGCAAAGTGGAGGGTCTAAAGGTAGATAAGTCCCCTCGTTCTGATGGAGTGCATCCCAGGGTGCTGAAAGAAATGGCCGAAGTTATTGGAGATGCGCTAGTGGCAATTTACCAAAATTCTTTGTACTCTGGGCAGGTCCCAGCTGACTGGAAGACAGCAAATGTCACGCCGCTGTTTAAAAAAGGATGTAGGCAAAAGGCAGGTAACTACAGGCCAGTTAGAATAACGTCTGTGGTCAGCAAAATGCTTAAGGCAATTATTAAGGAAGAAATAGTGAGACATCTGGATGCAGATGCAGTATGGATTCAGGAAGGGAAGGTCATGTTTGACAAACTTACAGCTGTTCTTTGATGATATAACAATCGCAGTGGATACAGGGGAACAGGTGAATGTTGTGTACTTGGATTTCCACAAGGCGTTCGATAAGGTACGGCATAAAAAGACTCATCCATAAGAATGCATGGAGTTGCGGGGGATGGATTAGTGTGGATAGAGGGCTGGTTAACCAATAGAAGGTAGAGAGTTAGAATAAATGGGTGTTTCTCTGGTTGGAGATCAGTGGTGAGCAGAGTGCTGCAGGGGTTGGTGTTGGGCCCGCATCTGTTCATGAATATATAAATGATTTGGAAGAGGAGACCGAGTGTATCTAAGTTTGCTAATGACACTAAATTGAGTGGAAAGGCAAATGGTGCAGAGGATGTGGGGTCTGCAGAGAGATTTAGATAGGTTAAGGGATTGGGCAAGGGTCTGGCAGACAGAATACAATGTTGGTAAATGTGAGGTCATCCACTTTAGAAGTAAAAATAGTAGATCAGATTATTATTTAAATGGTGATGAAAGATTGCAGCCTGCTGTTATGCAGAGACATTTAGGAGTGCTTGTACATGAATCGCTAAAAGTTGGTTTACAGGTGCAACAGGTAATCAGGAAGGCAAATGAAATGTTGGCTTTCATTGCTAGAGGGATTGAATTTAAAGAGCAGGGAGGTTCTGCTGCAATGGTACAAGGTGCTGGTGAGGCCGCACCTGGAATATTGTGTGCAGTTCTGGTCTCCTTACTCAACGACGGATATACTGGCTTTGGAGGTGGTGCAGAGGAGATTCACCAGGCTGATTCCGGAGATGAGGGGGTTACCCTATGAGGAGAGGTTGAGCCGCCTGGGACTGTACTCGCTAGAATTTAGAAAAATGACAGGGGATCTTACAGAATCTTATATAAAGTTATGAAAGGGATAGATAGGATAGAGGCAGGCAAGTTGTTTCCACTGGTGAGAGAGACTAGGACTAGAGGACATAGCTTCAAGATTAGGGGGAGTAGATTTAGGACAGAGATGAGGAGGAACTGCTTTTCCCAGAGAGTGGTGAATCTATGGAATTCTCTGCCCAAGCAAGCAGTAGAGGCAGCTTCATTAAATATATTCACAGTTGGATAGATTTTTGCATGGGAGGGGGATTAAGGGTTATGGGGATAATGCAGGTGAGAGGAGCTGAGACCACAGATAGATCAGCCATGATCTTATTGAATGGTGGAGCAGGCTCGATGGGCCGAGTGGCCTACTCATGCTTCTGTCTCTTATGAACTTTATGAACTTACTTGGGCGAATGCATTTTTGAAAACAATACTCTTGGAGGCAAGTTGATCGATGTTTGGTGATTTCACTATCGGATCACCGTAACATCCCAGACTGGTGCGCAGATCATCAGCAATGATAAAGAGGACATTCATCTTTCCTGAAGGCAAAATAAAATTCGGTATTAACAATTTAATGTCACTTGGCTTCATTACGCACCTCAAACAATTCTAATCATAAACTGTAAGCAATATGGATTAGCAGCGTCAATTTTGAGGATCTTTCTGAACAACATAATAATGAAGTGCAATGGAATGTAGTAATGAATGCTGATGACACAGAAATAGGTCGGAAAGTAAGTTTGAAAGAGGACGTAAGGAGGCTACAAAGGGATAGACATAGGGTAAGTGGACAAGGATCTGACAGATGAAGTATAATTGGGAAAATTAGAAATTGTCCATTTTGATAAAAAGAATGAAAAATAACAAAATTATCTAAATGGCAAGGTACTGCAGAACTCTGGAATACATAAGAATCTGGTTGTCCTTGTGGGTGAATCACAAAAGGTTAGTTTGCAAGTTCAAGTAATTAGAAAAGCTAATAGAATGTGATCGCTTATTGCAATTGGAATTGAATCAAAAGTATGGAGGTTATGCTTCAGTTATACAGGACATTAATGAGACCTCATCTGGACAGTGTTGCTCTCCTTTTTATTCAGGAAGGACGTATTTCAGAGAAACCTTACGAGATAAATACCTTGAATAGGTGGATTGTCTTACGAGGAAAGCTCGGACTGGCTAGGTTTGCATTTGCTAGATTTTAAAAGAGTAAGAGACAACTTGATTGAAACAAAAAAGTTTCTGAGAGGTCTTGGCAGGGTGGTTTTGAAGAGGATGTTTCCTCTTACAGGGAGAAACTAAAACTAGGGGGTCATTGTTTCAGACAGAGAAAAGGACAATTATTTTACTCACAGAAGTCACAGAGTCTTTGGAAGCCTCATCAACAAAAGACAGTGGAAGCAGAGTCTTTGAGTACTTATATGGCAAAGGTTATCTGGAATAGGCAGGAAAATGGAGTAATCAGATCAGCCGTGATTTTAGTGAATTGTGGCACGGGCTCATAGGACCGAGTGGTCTACTCTAGTCCCTAATTTGTATGTTCATGTGAAATGGGACAAAAATGCTTTATAGTGAGAATGAATCACCAGTCTATTATTCAAGTTGTGATATGGTCTACTGTGTTGATTGATATCTTCCTCTCTCAGCAGTACTGTGGAAAACAATTTCACTTACATTGTGTCAATAAAACTCGGCAAACAGTACCCTCACAGGCATTTTCAAGATATCCTTGATAATACAATCAGCAATTTCTTCAATGAGTTGATAGTGAACCTGGATACCTCTTACAGCAATATCCAAATTAGCTACCTCTGCTGGTTCAGAAGTGAACATATTTAGCCCAGGTGACTGGTATTGTAACAGATCAAAGATTGAATCAAAAGAGATTTTTGGGATTTCAAACAGTTGGCGCCCTCCCCACCACCACCTCCCTTTGGACATTCCAGTCGTTTCAGTTTTAATTTTGAATTAAGCAGCAGGAGTTTAAATCCAAAGTAGCAAAATTGTGAAAAGGGACTTTAACATAAAGTCATGGTCACAAAAACATGTCATCCCAACCTAATATTGTGGACTTTATAAGAACAAAGTTAACGGTGATGGCTTTCTGGAATTAAAATAGCACACAGATAGACTGTTCAGCCCATTTCAACTGTGTTGGCCCTTTGAAAGAACAATCCATTCAGACCAACACATCTACTTCTTCCTTACAGTCTTGCCAATGCATTTTTTCTTTTTTAAGAATGATCTCAGTTTTGTACCTATGGTATCCATTTCACTTTAGTTGCTCCCCAAGCTATGGAAAAATCATAATATGACAGAACCAGACCTCTGGAATGTATTGAATAGGGAAAAATATTGTGTTCATCTGTTCATATGGCTTCAGACAGCCAGCATAATGAGAATTAAAGATTGACTTCATATAATAAAAAGGCTTTAGCTGCATAAGATACAAGACACAGCAACATCGAAAACAGGAGCAGGAGTAGGCCATTCGGCCCTTCAAGTTAGCTCTGCCATTTATTATGATCATAGTCAAAAGTCACACAACACCAGGTTGTAGTCCAACAGGTTTATTTGAAATCACAAGCGTTCAGAGCGCTGCTCCTTCATCAGGGGAAGGGCTTGTGATTGTGATTTTAAATAAACCTGTTGGACTATAACCTCGTGTCGTGTGACTTCTGACTTTGTCCACCCCAGTCCAATACCGACACCTCCACATCATTATGATCATGACTGATTATTCAATCCTGTTCCTGTTCCTGTTTCCTCCCCCATACCCTTTGGCTCCTTTAGCCCTCAGAATTATACTAAACTCCTTCTTGAAAACATTCAACCACTTCTGGGGTTAGATAATTCCTCTTTTCATCCCTACCTGCCTTGTTCCATACATCAGTCCTGCCATCTAGGAACCAATCTACTAAACCTTTGTTGCAATCCCTCCACTGCCAGAACATCCTTCCTCAGATAAGGAAACCAAAACTGCACACAATTCTCCAGATAATAATCCAGGTCTCTGAGGTCTCGAAACATTAATTCAAATTCTCTCTCCACAGTTCTGCCAGACTTACTGTGTTTCTCCAGTATTCTGTTTGTTTAGATTTCCAGTATCATAATTTTCCTTTAACCCCTTATTTTTAAATTGTCTCCCCTGGTTTTGGACTGCCCAACCAGGGTAACCATCTTAATTGCATCCACCCTGCCCTATCCCTTTGAGTAGTTTGTAGGTTTCAATGAGATCACCTCTCATTCTTCAAAATTTAAGAGAATACAGGCCTAAGTTGTCTAATCTTTCTTCATAGGTCATTCTCACAGCCCCAGAATATGTCTGGAGAAACTTTGCTGCTCTCCCTCCGCAGTAATATTATCCTTTCGAGATAAGGAGACCAAAACTGCATACTGTACTCGAAGTGTGGTCTAATCAAGGTCCTACACAATTGAAATAAGACTTCACTACTCCTGCACTCAAATCCACTTGCAATAAATGCTATCATTCCATTAGCCTTCCTAATAACTTGCTGTGTCTGCATGTTAGCCTTCAGAGATTTTTAAACAAGGACAGGGATGTCTCGCTGCAATTGTGCACAGCCTTGGTAAGATCATGCCTGAAATAATGTGTGTGGTTTTGGTCTCCTTATCTGAGAAAGGAAGGCTCTGGCTACAGGAGGAGTGCAACGAAGGTTTACCAGACTGAGTCATTGGATGGCAGGACGGATGTACAAAGAGAGACTAGATTGGTTAGGACTACATTCACCAAAGTTTCAAAGAATGAGGGGGGATCTCATAGTGGCCAATAAAATTGGAACAGGACTAGACAGTCTAAAAGCAGGAAGGATGTTCTCAATGACCAGGGAGTCTTGAACCAGGGGTCACAGTCTGACTGTACAGTGTAGGTCATTTAGGATTGGGATGAGGAGAAGTGTCTTCATCCAGGGACTGGTGCACAGTGTAATTCTCTGCCACAGAAAGTGGTTGAGCCCAAAACTTTGAATGCTTTCAAGAAAGAGTCAGATATAGTTCTTAAGGCAAAAGCGATCAAATGGTATGGGAGAAAACAGGAATTGGGTAACAAGTTGGACGATCAGTCATGATCATATTGAATGGTAGAGGAGTCTCGATGGGCTGAATGGCCTCCTTGTTGAAAAATCACTGAAGGCTAACATGCAGGCACAGCAAGTTATTAGGAAGGCTAATGAAATAATAGTATTTTTGCAAGATAATTTGAGTGCAGGAGTAGTTAAGTCTTATTTCAATTGTATAGGACCTTGATTAGACCACACTTCAAGTACAATATGCAATTTTGGTCTCCTTATCTCAGGAAGGCCTATTTTCAATGTTTCTAAATTATCCAATCAACACTTTCTTCTCATGCTGCCTAAATTGTTGCTCACTCTGAAATTTGGTGTTCTTGCAATTCTGTCCTAATAACTGCAAGACAGAAAGTTTCAACTGTGTGTCTCTTTTCTCAGCAATTCTCAGGGTTATAATCCAAACTGCTCTGTTATAAATGTTATTCTGAGACAGAAGATGCTAGTTAAACTCCCAGTTCAGGGACTTGTGCACAATATTTTGGCTGATACCCCCGGTGCAGTACTGCACTGAGAAAGTGCTGCACTGCCTCTGTTGCTATCTTTTGAATAAGTCATAAATCTACAGCTCTATCTGCCCTTGACGGTGATTGTTAAACACACCATAGCATTAAATGCAAAAACAGAGTTAAATAGAGGATCAACATTTAACCCTCAACCAACATCACTTGAAAAGAAACATAGAGCATCCCAACAGGTACAAACACTACCTCTGCCTGGCCTGTTTTCCACATTGCAACCATAACTACACTTCAAACATACTATATTGTCTAAGAAAAAGGCTTGGGTGTCCATATATTTTATATGTGTGATTTTTAATAGGCCACCTCTCTCTCTTGCTTCTCTCCATCCCAGTATTGTCAGATGTGTTGTAAAATTCAACTTGCGGGTGTTAGGTTCGTTAGCTCAATTGGCTGGATGGTTGGTCTACATTATTGTGTGACACTATCCGTTTTGGGTTCAGTTCCTGTACTGGGTGAGGTTACCATGAAGGTTCCTCTCTCATCCGTGCCTGATGTACAGTGAACCCCAGATTAAAGTGACACCAGTCATCTGCGCCTCTCTGAGCAGCCCCTTGGCCTGCTAGGTCCTTACCTTTTACTTGTTGATGACCCCATGTGGTACAATGGGTAGCATTACCACTCTGGGCCGGAAATACTGGGTTTGTGCTCCACACCAGAGCCTGAGCAGTCAGAACCTGGACAGAATGGCTGGACTCTCACTTTTCAAACTCCTGTCACACTTTGCCTATAACCAATCCAATGGAATTCCACAGCCCAATCTTTTGTCAACAGAGAACGAGAAAACAGAGCCAGCTATCTGGACCCTTCTTCAGAAGAAGGGTCCAGACCCGAAACGTCAGCTTTCCTGCTCCTCTGATGCTGCTTGGCCTGCTGTGTTCATCCAGCTCTACATCTTGTTATCTCAGACTCTCCGGCATCGGCAGTACCTACTATCTCACAGCCAGCTATCTGCTGACTCCCACATGCTGTCATTAAAATAAAACATAACAAGGTGTAGAGCTGGATGAACACAGCAGGCCAAGCAGCATCATAGGAGCAGGAAGGTTGTTATCTCGGATTCTCCAGCATCTGCAGTTCCTACTATCTCTGATTAAAATGAAAGCCATCTTTTCCCAAATGCTTTTACTTCTGCAGCAGGGTCACTGGACTCGAAACATTAACTCTCTCTCTCTTTCTCCACAGATGCTGCTGAGTTTCTGTTTATATATGTGTGTGTGTGTGTGTGAGAGAGAGAGAGAGAGAGACCTTTGATTTCAGAGGAGAGGCTGAAAGAGACCAGGCTAACAAAGAAAGAAATCCCTCTCGGTTACCTTTCTTCCGCACTGGGGTTGCTTTGGGATCGAGTTGCCCTTGAGCAGCCCAGCAGGTAAACACCATCAGCGCCCCTCCAAATCCCCACTTGTGATTCATCCTGAAAACAAAAAACAACAGACCAACAAGGCCAGCTGGAGCTTCAACTCACGTTGAAAGTGAATTCTCAGCTGCTGAGCCCCCCAGGTCCCGCCTCTGCCTGCGCTCGGGAAACGAGCTCTGCTGATGGTGGAGTACCCTGTCAGTCACCTCGTCAACACGAATACACTGCAGATTCCCGGAAATGTAAATGTAAGGAGCCACAACAACCTACAACATGGCCAGGGACTCAAAGCACTGAGACTGTGAGCGTGAAATTAAAAAAAAAACTGCACAGCAGAAGCTGGTCTTGCAGCTGATCGTGACAGTCATATGTTACACTTTGTCAGAGATAGTAGGAACTGCAGATGCTGGAGAATCCGAGACAACAAG